CCCTCACTGAGTGCATGGAAATTAGTCCTCCCACAGGAGTGGGTGAGGAGGCTGGGCAGCATTTTCCAGTCTGGGAGGATAAACCTGAAACCAGAACTGTAGCAGCTTCAGTCAGCCACTCGAATTGTTACATTTGATAGTATCAAGTCTGAGAGTATAGGCAACTACTCTGAAGACAATAAGATTCACTATGATACCCATTCTAATTTGACTATTACCTCTTTTGAAGTCCTATAATATCTCCAATGTTTTATTCTTTTGATTTTATTCTGTACTGCTATGTTCAATTTTATTGTACCTGATGACATGCACAACTCTATTGAAGATAACAAGAGACATTGTAGATCACCTTGTATTGTGGTTTTAAATTATGTACTATGTTCATCCTTTTGTCTTGAATGACCTCAATTTTTTTCATTTGCTTTTATTCTTTTCGAAATAAAAAAAAAAAAGCTGGAAGAAAATATGTTGATTATTTTCACCTTAAAGAATTGATGTTTGGGAGATAACATATCTTTGTCCTGATCTAAACTTCACAGTGTATACATACATTGAAATGTCATATTACTCATAAATATGTGAGAGATAAAATTGTATATACCAGTTCAAAATTTTTTTGAATTTTTTAAAAAATTAAAAATTACAGCAAAACAAAACAAAAAACACAGAACCTAGGGCATCAGGAGTCTTTATAACCCATCAGACTAAGGCAGGTCTTAGACCTCAGAAAACAGTAAATTCAATGTTTTGTTTTTTTTTTTCACTAGAATGGACTTCTGTTACTTTTACACCCAGGCATTAAGATATTTTTTGTTTTTATGCTTCTTAGAATTTATGTTTACATTGTACTATGATCTGTTAGTAGGAAGATACTCTGGGAAACAGGAGGCCTCATATCTTTTAAAGTGTCAGTCCTATAAAATAATTTGCCCCCTTCTTCCTTCAACCTTTGTTTTGCCTCTTAAGCTATGCTTAAATAACTCTGCATAGAACAGTGAATATCTTTATTTTTTCCATGATAGCTAAAGAAATAAGTGACTGATATTTGCTAAATCCCAAATCTGAAAGTTGAATGACTTTTTGAGACAATGGCCATTATGGAGTTGGCAGCATTAGTTTGGGACAGATATGTGAAGGAAATACAACACTTCAGACAACTTGGCAAATTGGGGCTGGCTTGGCTCATGAGCAGATACTGAGAGTGTATGAGTTTTCCCTGGAACATCACAACTTCCTAGGGGTGGTTATATCGCCTCGAAACCATTCTGTGGCTTATCTGTCTGCATTATTGGAAACTTTTAAATTCAAAAAATACAAAGAGATTGACTTATAAAAAATTTCAGAAAGATGTGTTTGTTGCCTTCTGGTTATATATATATGTGTGTGTGTAAATGTATAAACAATTGACACTTTTCTGTTTAAGGCATTTCTCTTGCTAAATGCAGTCATAGTATAAGGAATCAGCTCATTGCTATTTCACAGAAGGTGCAAGGGACGTTACTCATTTCCACAGGGCAAACACTAATGCTAATTGTCCAGCCTGGCAGGAAAATCCGATCTGTTTATTTCACGTGTTTTAAAATGTATTTGGAAATACACACACACACACACACACACACACACACACACACTCACACACACACACACACACGTACTAGTAATGATTTTTTTACAGATACCTATTGTTAAATAAATCTTTTTTTTAGACATTCAATAATTTGCTCATATGTGGTAGGATCACAAAGCTGCTGAAAACTGTGAAAATTCCTTTCTACTTAGAAAAGAACTTTTAACCACATTTAGGATTAAATGTTAGAGAATTATATACTGATTATGCTTCCTTTTATAGCAAATATATTCCAGAATTTTCACACTAGTAAGACTAAAATAGAAATATATCTAAAAATTTATGTTTAATCAATGAAAAAGCTTATTTCACTATGAGAGAATTGTTAAAAAAGGAAAAATCCTATATAATTCAGAAAAAGAGGTAGACTTGATAGACAGCTTTTTTTTTTTCTTTTTTGCTAAAACAGACTGGCATGTAGTGCTATTTTGTAAGTTACCAGAAGTAATCTAGTTCTGCGATTTGAGAAAACATATAGGGGGAGTCTGATAGGTGATTTGATATAAATTTATTCAGGTTGTTAAAAACTTGAAAAAATTTCCAGAGGGTTTTATTAATGAGTTACTTTTTTTTTTTTTTTTTTTTTTTTTTTTTTTTGTCTTTTTGAGACAGGGTCTTGCTGTGCAGTTCAGGCTGGCCTTGAGCTCACTTTGTAGCCCAGGCTGGTCTCAAACTCGCAACGATCCTCCTGCCTCAGCCTCCCAAGTGCTGGGATTATAGGCATGAGCCACCATTTAGAATGCATCCATGATGCATTGCCATGGTGAGACCAGGAGTTTGAAAAATTTGAAAGAAGCAGTCGCAGTGGAGAAAGTGAAGAGAACGATTTTGAGAGACAGAAGAGAGTTGATATATTAAGGGAGAATGACTTTGAAGTGTGGTATAGAAGTATGTAGAGGACCAACAGAAAAAAATCTGGACTCCTTAGAACAAAAACTGATACTGGCTTTGAGAAAAGGAGACCCAAATCAAAACAAACAATTAACTTCTACTTATGTTAGCAGAATGCAACAAACAAAAATGGATTATGTGAAAACAGTGAAGTTGCAAGAGAATAAATGGGGAGAAAAATCACAGGGACCTCAGAAGGAGAAATCGTCAAGAATGTTTGTCTGAGATTGTTTACTTAGCAGCCTTCACATTTGACACTCTTTACTATGGAGAAGTTGCCAGTTCTCTTTCTCTGGCTCAGAGGGTAGCAAGCAAAAAAAAAAAAAAAAAAAAAAGATGAAGTTGGCAAGTATAAATAGGAGTATCACATAAGGACAGCGTGCCCTAAGCCAAATGCATTATGTTTTGAAAAAGTATAGAACACAAAGACTGAAATGAATTTTTGTGGCCCTTTGTATTTTTGAAGCCATGAATATATTTTATGCAACATCTCAGGGCAAGAGGTAAAAAAGTCTCCCTTCATTGTTTATTATTACCTCAGTGTTGCACATAAATGCTTAAATGTATAATAGTATATTTAAAGGTGATTGTTTATTTTGAGAATTAATATATGAGTATGGAATTTTCTAAGTAGTAACTGTTGAAGTGATGCAAACTTGTGACAGAAAAATTAATTTTTGATTATAAGAAGAAATGAGGGTTGTGCAAGAAAATTTATGCAACCAAAATTGTTTCGGAGACAGTAAAATAACACAGGATGAAGTTGAACTGTATAGAAGAGAGTTTTGATTTAAAATCTATTTAAAATAACCACTGTATATCTTAATACTGAATATCTTTGTAGCATAAACACAGTATTCTTCATGATTCATGTTTACATTGACCTTAGTACTTCCTGGGAGTTTATAAAAGAGATACTTTCGGTTTCAGTTGTGAGATACAAACTTGAAACTTCAAATGAAAACAGTCATTTTCCTTGCAGGATCTTGCGCACATCATATTGTCAATAGCTAAGAAATCTTTTGTTACTGAGTTCTCAGAGTCAGCAGAAGACTTCCTAACAGTCCCACATTCCCCAACTTTTTATCATTTTCAAGATTGCCTCAGATTCTTCTGCCCTATTTTTTATGAATCTATTTCATGACAGTAATTATTATACAAGATTGTAAATTAGATGTACAACCCATAGGTGTCTTTATTCATTTTGCCTTTTGATCACCCGAATAATGGGGAAGCCATACCCGAGTTATTCGACAGTTTGGAGTACTGAACTTCCTGTTCTTTCCATCATTCCATCGTTCATCAGTACTGAAGAGCTGTGTAAGTGAAATCTGTATGGGACCCCTTATGTAATCGTTGTGAGTGATGCCTTTGAAGCGTGTACATTACTGTAATCGTCTTTTGAATGACATATGAAATATTTTCGCTGAAAATAAGATGGTCTCTGTTACTGATATTGTAAATATTATACTCTGTGTTTTCCCCCATTACTTTGTTTTAATCTGTGAGGGTAGATAGTGAAAGACAGAGAGAGAGAGAGAGAGACCGACTGAGACCGAGACTGAGACCGAGACCGAGACCAAGACCGAGGCAGGGTCTTACAGGGTAGCCAGCTGGCCTTGAGCTCACTTTGTAGCCCAGGCTGGCCTCAGACTTACAGCAATCCTCATGCCTCAGCTTCCTGAGTGCTGGTATTAAAGGCATGTGCCATGATGCCTAGCCACTTTATGTTTCAGCCTCCTGGTTACCATACCGAATACCACAGAGTGCGTGTCTTAATTAAAAAACAGAAGTTAACTTTCTCACAGTTCCTGAGGCTTGGAAGTTTCATACCAAGAGGCCCCCAGAGCTGGTTTATCTTGAGGCCTCTCTGACTTGCAGATGACCACTTTGTCCTTGTGGTAACCTTAGCTCTGGTGTCACTTGCTGTTTTTAAGACATCACTCCTCTTGGATTAGGTCCCCACACTTACGGTCTCACTTAACACTACTTTGTTAAATGACTTTTATACCTTGGTTGGTTAGGGCATTAAAATATGGATTTGAAGGGAGCACAGTTCAGTCCATGTAATTTTGGCAGCTAGGAATTTTTGAGACCAACTGATGTGACAGGAGCAGGGAATATACAGCATTTATTTTTCTACCAGTATTCCCCCCATAATGATTTTTTGGTGACCTATTAAATCTGTTTTGTTTAAAAGCAGACAAACAAATTAAGTTTTCTAGTGTCATAAATTTTGTAAGAGGTTAGCCCAGTGAAAAAATTAGTAGGAATTACACTCCTGAGTTCCAAAAGATACTGGAAGACCTTCAGTAATTGTATTCCTCTGAGCATACGTACACATTTATATGAATGCTTACATTTATAAGACAAAATAATGGAAAGATGATTTTCTCTCTTTTATTATATAATGGAATATCAATGGAAATAAAGTTTTATAGGTGATAATTTTTTTAATGTCAAACCTTTTGTCTTTTTGTAGAAACCCTTAATGAAAAAAGAGCAACAAAAAACTCAACCAGAATCAGAGCCAGGAAAGAGGTATATATTTTATATAATACCAGAAAAGTATAAATTAATAACTTGCTTGTGGTGTTGTCGATGTAATTGCTGACTTTAAAATCCAGGTTTAAAGAAGTACAATTAATGGAAGCTTAAATTTTTGATATACCTTTCAAAGGTTGCCATTGTGCTTGCTTTGGCAGCGAATATACCAAAATGATAAATGTTGCTATTTAATTTGGCTCAGGCAAGAAAATATTGGCTACTTTCTTGGGCAGGGACAAAATACTCAACACACACAAGTTAAAAGAGGAAAGGTTTATTTTGCGCACCGTTTATAGGGATTTCAATGCATAATTGGCTGGCTCCAAGGCAGTTTGGCATGGCACAGGCACAGTGCAGAGGAGAAACAGTTCATTGCAAGCAGGCAAGCAGCATCAAAACAGTCATCAGGATGCTCCTTTGCTTCCTTTTTATTCCATCCAGACCTAGAACTAGAACTATGCTAAACCAATTAGTGGACAAATCCAATTATCACACATTGTTAATCCATGTTCACACACCCTAAATCTAGCCACCTCTGAAAAGCCCAAACTATGAGCATATGAGGTTTGGGGGCGGGGGCATTTAGATACTAACCATAACAGGAGGAATAATGTTTTCAAGTATTTTTCTAATCAACAGACCCAACTTTTATTTCTGGTATCTAGGGTTTATGCAGTGTAAGTATTACTGAATGTGTCTCAGCTGTTTGTTAATAAGAATCTATAGGCTTTAATTCATTATGGTAAGGACACTTTTCAATGTTTATATTCAGGTTCTTTACATTGTTTTGTACTTTATGTAGTAAATTTGTTGATAAATTTATGAAAAACTTGATTTTGTGAAATAGATTGGAAGATAAGGTAAAAATAAGGGATTATAGAGATTTAACAGAGTTTCTGAAAAAGGCAGATTTCGTGCTTGTATTTCCTTATTCACCGGGAATACATTAAATTATTAATTATGTTATTATGTATTTGAAATTATAAAACAGTTATTCAAAGGCACTGGAAAGTATAGATTCCTGAAAAAAATTAAAATGTTTGACATCCTAATTTATAGGTTTTCTTGGTTTCTTGGTTTTTCTAAATTAAGCTGTAATATAGATAGCTCTTAGGCAGACTCCTTTAGTGTTGCTAGTGTGAGGTGTGGAGAGACAGAGTTTGTGGCTGCCAGAATGACTAGAAACTCTAGAGAATTCTACAAGGAAGAGAAGAGACTGAGTTTGTATACAAACTTTAAAAAAAAATCCTTGCCTGGCTCCTGAACTGTGCATGTATAAAAGAGACTATAAAGTCCCTCCTGGAACAATACTTTGCGTAGCTTACAATTGGTTCACCTGGTTACAACAAAAGAAAAAGATCTTCTGAATGTTAGAAATATCGGGGCTGAGGATTTAGGTGCTTGGTAAGCGCAAGGTCGTGAGTTTGATCCCAGGCACAAAAAAAAAAAGCAATTGGGGCTTGAATGCGGCTTTTAATAACAACATGATAATAATGATAAGGATCCCCAGTGTGGAAATAGAAATTATCAAAAAAGGTATAAGAGATTTGGACAAACCATCCATTAATGTGATCAACTTTAGATTTGTAGAAGACTGCATCAGCAGCTGTAGAATATATCTTCTTTTTGAGGACACATTAATATGCCTAATAAAGATAATAATAGAAAACAGTAGAATAGAAAATAAAAGATACAGTAAACCAACTAATAAAGCCAAAAAATTAGACTTTGACATGATTAGTAGAATTTGTAAGCTTCTAAAATGATTGACAGAGATAAGTACAAGTTACCAATATCAGAAGTGAAAGTTACCAATATCCCATTCTATATCCTCTACATTGAAAGAAAAATAACACAATACATAAACAACTTCATGCCAGTTACATTCAACTATGAGGAGATAGCCAATTCTTTGAAAGAAGAAAAATACTAAATGTGACGTAAGAAGAAATAGAAAACTGAAATAACATATGTCTTGTGAGAAATTTTAATACACTTGATCTAGAGATAAAAAATAACTGTCATTTGAAAATTACTTGTAATGTATTTGGTGATGTTAAAAGCAGTTGATCCCTTGTATGTATTTTTTCTGAAAATATTATTCAGCTGGTTAGTTTGGTTTAAAAGTCTTTTTCTTTTATAGGTGCTATTAAATTAAAATTAGTCCAGTCTTATCAATGATAATTATACATTCTCAAAGATAAGCATTTATTTTAGTTACTTGTCAGGGACAGTGCGCTAATGTGAATTCTTTACATTTTCTAAATGGTCTACCATCTGTTTCAAGTATAAAGAGCCATGAAAAATTTTGCAGTGATATCTAGCTAATTTTGCAAAGATATCTTAAATATTTTAGAGGATGATGATTGAAGAAAATTTTAAAGATAATTTGATTTTATCTTTTTTATGTTCTAATGGAGAAATCAGAGGTTCAAAAAGATTAGTGAATTTCTTCAGTATTACAAAGTAAAAGTTAGAGCTGTGACTAGAATTCAAATTTTGCCTTATAGCGTAGTGAAATTCTTAGTCATGATGCTTTTAAGGAGGTAAACTGAAACTTAACAAGTTAGTAAACCTAGGAGATATTGCAGTGATTTAAACAATGTTACCAGAGTAGAATCAGATGGAGAGAGAGAGAAAGAGTGAAACAGAAGGTAAAAATATAGCAGTGAACAAAATGAAGCATATATAATGATATTTACATATGCTCACAGACTCACTTTGCTGAAAATATTTAAAGGAATCAATATTAAGATTCTCTTTTTTGAAAACCTATACTACTACTATCATAACAATTCCATGAGACTTTAGAATCTACATATTGGTATCCTTTTTAGCTTAGTCTAGTAGAGGTTTCTTGTTGGAAAACAATTTTCCAAGTATTTTCAGCTGGAGGTTTTCATAGAGCCTGCATGAGACAGGGCACGTTACACCCTTCCACCAGTCATTGTCAGCTTCAATAAAATACTCACCTTTTCAGAAGCAATTTTGCATTTCCAGGGTAAAAGTATGTATCCTTTATATATTACCATTGCCAGACTTAAGTAAATACCAGAGAATCTGTTGTTTGACACCTTTTATTTTACTGAAAATGAGATGGTGGAATTAATTTATACTTACCCACAAGCTTTGGTGGGACCCTCAACAGTTGACAAATAGGCCAGCTTAGGAAGCACTTAGCAGTGTTTTTTAAGAAGGCAGTCAGGTGGCTGTTAGAAGGTGAAAGTGAGGGAGTGAAGCAAACTGAAAATGCTGCTCCAGCACTTGGTGTGGAAGCATTGCTAGTGTAGGAATTTACTCCTTTTGATGGTAGGAACCGGAATCTGTTGCCTTATGGTGTGAATCAGAGCTCTGATTATTTGCCACAATCTACAGATATCACAAACCTGAGAAATGAACGTTCACATTAATATTTTTGTCATTGCTGTCCATCTTCTTATTTTCACCCATAAAGGTTTCAGTATTCAGAAAGAGGAAACAGCAAGAGGCTGTAGTGCTTAGGGATTTTTATTTGTGCAAACATATATAGTACACATAAAATTTTCCATTAGCATCCGTTAAGCAATGAGATGCTGGAATCCTATGCTTCTAGGATTAATTGTAGAGTTCACACAATTGAATAGCTGCAAAGCTCACACAGATGATATTTGATTTTACTTTGGGGTTCTAAAATATATAATTGTATACTTCTATGAGAAAAAGATGATCTTTTTTTGCTCTGATTTTATGATTCTGCTACATATTTATCTTATAGGCTTATGCCAATATTTGTTGAAAATAATTTATATACCATTGCTTCACAGCTGAGTAAGGTCTTTATTTATTTAATATTTCAATTTAAATGATAAAATTTGAAATTCATAAAGATTAAAATGTGATGCTCAATATCCATAAGGCTTTGGATTATATCCCTCCCTAGCACCAGAAACACCATAGAAACAAATCAAATATGGTTGAGAACATCTAAAAGTATTTTTATGGGAAACTAAGTTCGTGTTAAATATTTTCAAAAAAGTCAAACTCAGTTCCAAAATACCAAAGGAATGGTCTAGTTTTTATTTTTTTAAAGTAAAATACCTGATGTAAATTTCTAAACCAAAAAGAATTACTGTCAAATACATGCCATTTTTCAGTTTGAGCTTTTAAAAAATGAAATGTGTGCACAAATTATAATATAAACGTTTTTCCTTTATGTAGGCAAAAATTTAATGATATTTTTGCAATGAAGTAGCATTTCTATCATCTTTTCAATTTCTATTTACTGTATGCTTCATCCACTTTCCACTTCTTTTTATGTTTTTTAAAAAATATTAAAAGTGGTCTGTATAATTAGAAAAAAGGAATTAATATATCAGCACACTCCATTACCAATATCTAACTAAGTAAAAGTGGTAAACCAGGAGCTATTTAGTGTTTTACTTTACTATTGAAACAGCATTCTACGTTTCTTTTCTATGAGAAAAGATTTACATTGTATATAAGCAATGTTTCTTGAGGTCTATTTGGATTTGTTTAGTATCTAACTATATTGCATAAATCCCCATTTTCATTCAGATAACCTTTTGCTTTCTATGAATATAATCTGTATTGTCTTTTTGATGTCTCTTTATAGTGAGTGGTTAGTATTTTTCAGATTACCTATGCTGAATTTTCTTTTGTTGAACTTTTCTAACAATCGTTTTTTGGAGGAGGATATCAGAGAGCAAACTCATAACCTTGTACTTGCCAGGCAGGTGCTTATACCACTAAGCTAAATCCCTGACCCTATAACGTAATCATTTTTCAAAAATGCCTGACTGATGTAGAATAATGGGTCTTTAATTCATAGGATAAATATTTTCTAAATTGTTGACTCATAAAACAAAAATTGTAGTTTGTGATAAAGTTGGAGACTGATCATTAGCCTCTTATATTTTTAGTATTTAATTTGCTTGAGTTCTAGATGATAAATGTGTCAGCTGTCTTATGTACCAAAGTTGACGTAAAGTATACTACTTTGGAACCATTTATTTCCCTTTATGTGTTTCATCTTCAAGTTTCCCAAAATTCATATAGTTTATATAAATATGCAGATGAAGAGGAATATTCATATACTCCCTTCTTCCTTTTTGTGGCTTATTGTAGTTGAAAGGGTAATATACATGTACCAACTCCTCACAATCAATGTAATAGTTAAGTATTGCAAACATATACTAAATAAAAATTTTAAAGATAAAAGGATAATAAATGAAGCACTGATTTTTTACTGAAAAGCAAATTTAGATTATATTTCTAAATTACTTTTCTGATACAGTGAAATATATATCTGCTAGTATAACTAATTATAAAATTCACATTTCAGAATCTGGAGATCTAGGTATATACTTGAATGTTTCCTTTTAATCTCTAAAATTTCTATTACTATTTGTTAATTATCATTTTTTCCTGAAAGACCAAATACTTTCATTTTTATATCATACAATTTTATAATTTATCACCTGATAGCTTTCCTTTGATCTATTATGAAATCTATTACCTCAATGGGAGGTTAGCTTACTTATCATTATATAGCTTCTTCAACATTTTCTTTTTCTGTGTTAATTCTCAGTCTAGGAACTATATGAAAATAAATTTATGATGAATAACATTCCTCCAGAAATACCCTCTGCTGATATATTCTGTCTGTTTCTGGAGGATTACCGATCCTGAAAGATTAAAGAAACTTAAAAGATTTGTAACCCACACTCTCTCTATTCAAAGGGTGACTCTCCTTTATAACTGTTAGTCAACTTTCAGTTACTACTACAAAATGCCAGAGAGCCTCAGTTTATAGAGGCAAGTGTTACTTGGATTCCTGTTTTGGAAGTTTTCAGGCCATGATTCATTTGGGCCTGCAGCGAGGCAGCAGATCTTGATAGTCACGGTGCTAGAGTGAATGGTTCCTCACAAAGTGGCTGAAAGGCAAAAAAAAGGAGAAAAAGAGAATGAGGAAAAGGCTGGGGCTCCCAAATTCCCTTTGATGATACAATTCCAATGACCTAAAACCTTTCAGTAGGCCCTGCCTCTTAAAATTTCCACCACATCTAGCTGTGAGCTGGGGACCAAGCCTTTAACATGTGGCCCTTGGGAAATTCCAGATCCAAACTAAAGCAACACCACAGTCACCACCTAGACTATTCTTAAACTCTCCAGGGACTGACAGTGCTTCCATTCAAGAGGTATCACATTTAATTTGAAAGACTGCTCTAATTTACATACAGGTTTCTATATTTAGCCCAAAAGCTATCTCCCTTGAACTCACGTTTCTCTTCCCGACACTGTATAGTGTTATCAGTTTTCTCATTAAGTTAAGCATGCATATATATTTATTTCTGATATCTTCACTGAGACAGTATTTCATACTGTCATAGGAAAAGACAGACTTGATTTACACAAGTGGAAACTGCATAGCTGTGTAGAGTGTGCTGGGCATTTGTGTTTTGGCTCTGTTCAGCACCTCAAGCCCATCTGATTCAAAGGCTTAAGAAATGTTTTCCAAATGCTTTCTCTTTTCTATCTCTGCTTGCCTCTGCTTGGCTTTAGTACCTCTTTCTACATTTCCTCTTCATGTGGCCAGGAAAACAGTTGGCTTCTAGGTATCTTTAATTCATTTATTTCCAGCTGTCACCAAAAAGGCAGTACTCTGTTTCCACAAAAGCAAACAAGCAACAAGCAAACAAACAATAGTCTTGCCAAAGAAACATGCCTAAAATCACAAAGTACATAAACAAACCAGAAATACTTTGCATGACTCCCTAGCTTGTAAAACATGACCAGCCCTAGACAAATCATAGAAGACTGCATATAACTAAAGTTGCATACAGTGAGTTCCTCAAAAGAGAAGGAGGTGGCAGAGAGAGGAAACTATAATAAAAAAAGTGTTCCTGTTAAATTATGATGCTTGATCAAGTACAGTGTTTTGTGGACACAATGTTAAGTGTGACCCAGCTCTAGACCCTAGAGAAAACTCATGGGAGCCATCACGATGTCAGTCTCGATGGGGCAGTGACTCATTGACTTGATTTTAGAAAAACTGAGAATTTTTGAAATATTCTAATTTGTTTCTATTCTCTTCTCCCTCCTCCCCATCATTGTCTATTATAATAGAAAAGTAGTTGCTTTCAGGGATGCAAGAAGTACAAGAGAGGTACACCTGGAGATAATTACTGCATAAAATAATGTATCTATATTAATGGAGGTAAAGTACATAACAGGTCAGAATGGGATTATTGTGCAGTCATGTGTATGGTTATATACACTCACACTAATTGCAAAACTTTAGAAGTAATACTGTTACATGTTGCTTTAGCCTCTGTTACACATTTTTCTCTGGTAATTAGCCTTCATATGATCTTTTCAGGAACTTTTGCACTGACTGCACTATTGCAATGACGCACTATTCCAAGTCATGTATTGTGTCCTTACTCTAATTCCCCAATACCCATATCCTGCTTTTATTTTTCCCATAACAGGTATCATCTTCTATCATGCTTCTATAATAAACTGGTTTTCTGTAATTACTGCTTACCTATTCCACTAGAATATAAACTCAGTGAGAACAGGGAATTTTTTTGAGGTTTATTCAGCAGTATATCTTCAGTACTATAACATATTAAAGTTTATACTTTAAGTAAGTAAAGACATCGATAAAAAGTAGAAACTGCTTCTTGAGTATTTTCACTGGAATATCCAGAAATACCATGCAAGACTGAATAACTATGTCTCCCCCTTTACAAATCTTCTATCCTGCATTCTTTATCTCAGTTAGTAACAGTATTGTCTATCCAGTTACTCAAAACAACCAATGAGCCTGTATTTCCCCACTTGATTATAATGATTTTATAAGAACCTTGAAAATTGTCTTACTAAAATTCAGACATATTGAAAAATCATTCCATAATTCAGCAATATGGTAAACACAGTACAAAACAATTAAAATCATTGTATTCAGGATGGCATGACTTACTCTGTGCACATTCTAACTTTTTATACAACTGCTTTATTCTGTAAATCTTCATTCTCCATTCAGCTGACAACTGATATACAATGATATTAAATGTGCAGGTACATACTTTGCAAATTTTATGTTCTTCCCTTTATTTTTTTAAAGGGTGTACACTTGCCATTTTTGCTAGTCACTTTCTCATCACTGAGACACAATACGAATACCCACAACTCTAAGGAAGAAGAGTTTGTTTTGGCTCACAGTTTGTAGAAGTTTCGGTTCATAGTCAGTTGGCTCTGAGGCAGGTAGAATGACACAGGAGGAACAGCTTATGGCAGGTCAGGCAGGAAGCAGAAAGAAGAGGGAGGCTGATACATAGAGGGCAATCATGGCAAGAGGGAGAGCGCTGAATCTTCCAGATCACACTCACAGCAACCCACCTCTTCTAATCAGGCTTTGCCTTTGAACATCACACCCAGCTATAAACTCATCAGGGGGCTCCTCCATGATGAGTTTTCACACTCCCATGGTTCAATCACCTCCCCAAAGCCTATGTGTGCATGGGGTCTTGGGAAGATGCCTCAATATAAACTACAATGCCATTCTGCAAAATTCTTGTGTTACATTTATTCTCCAGTTTTTCCAGGGCAGAAAATTAATAGGTGAATATGAACAATTACTTACCTTAGCCCAGAAAATCTAACATACTAAGACCAGCTTCAACTTTATGATATCCTTCCCAGACTTCAGCTTCTGTTCTCTCTTCCCAATGTCTGTTTCATCCATTTCAGTTTGATGATCATTCTTCTAAAGCAAAGTAGAATCAATCCTGGGTAATGCTGACTTGCTGGTCCTTAAACTAATATTTCAGTAGGAAGCAAGAGGATATATTTGACTATGTGCAGTATTTACCCCCAATCCCATCATCAAATCCTATTGTGAGTTAGGTGCTTCCATAGTTACCTTTCAACTCAATAGAAAGAACTGTAATTAGTCTCCCTGATGACAGTTAGAACCATGAGATGTCCTGGAAAATAGCTACCAGAGAACTTCAATTCCTAGAAACACTGTCACCACCAAACTTCCAGTAATTTCCAAGTCACATGATGCTACCTAACTGTGTCATTTTCTTAGCCTGCCTTCCTCAGGATGATTTCTTAGTGATGTAAGAAAAGAATAAAGGTACTTTAGACCAAATAATCGCCTCGATTATCAACTTTTCCCTTCAGATCATTTTACAGTGTTTGGTTAGACCTATGTCCTCATTTTTTGCTTTCTCAGTTTTCCTGGCTTATTTCCTGGCCTTCCAAATGCCTACTTTTAATCTTCATTTTGGGGGACTACTGACCCTTGCTGTGACTCTTGCCAAGAATTTTAACCTGCTGATTATTAATTTGGGAGTTTGGCATCTTCCTTCTGGCCTGTTTTTCTTCCTTTTATGTAAAGATTCTGCTTTAGAGATCTGTACACCCAGCCAGGAGCAGGGCGAGCAGTGACCCCACCTGTAGCCTGGATCTCTGAATGTGGCTGGTGTCCAACACTGGTGAGAGGCACAGAGATTAGTGCATCAGCATCATCTGCTTTCCCAGTTTATCCTCATTAAATGGGGAAAATGTAGTCAATGATGAATCATAGAGAATGCAAAGTAACCAGGTTCTCAAAACTGGGGTTTTCAAGAAAGCTGAATTATTGCCTATTGATTTTGGCTACAGGCTGAATTGGGGTCTTTTGTTTTCTTCTCAGAATAGGAGCTTCCTGGCTCTTAAAAGTCTTGAGTCTACTTTCCTCCACCATATACATGACATAGACATAATTCAGCTAGTGTCTGCTGAAGAAGGCAGCAGAGAGTAAAGAAACAACTAATCACATGTGATGAGTAATAGGGAAGGGTTTGGCTGGGCCTGGTACAAGGAGAAGCCCTGTGTAGGTGTGAGCACTCCCTAGAAACAATGGTGAAGGAGCCAGCAGAGTCATGAGAGAAAACACAAAAGTACTTATCCCTAAAGTGAAGTGCTCTGGCCCAGTAGTACAATGAAAATGAGTAAAATCTAAAGCAGGGAAACCTGAATTTACAATCCTCCCTTCTTCTTTTTTGAGGAATTCACAAAGGGGGTAATAGGGAGGCAGAAATATGGGTCAAAAAACTCCATCTTTGGCCACTCCACAGTTCCTGCTTTTCTAGTAGCCTTTGGTCCACTGTTGTCTGACAATTATTCCATGTGTTCCTGCTTGAGGGTTTCTTGGACCCACTAAAAAAAGTCAGTCTCTAAGACACATAGGTCCTTAAACTAAAGTACTGGATATAATATCAAAATTGTTTTTAGGATTAACCCAATTTTTAAGGAAATTCATTTAATTGTCTGAAGCCCTGTAGTCTCAAGTCCTTTTTCTGACATGGAATCTGTGAACAGATTCCAAGTCTTCATTAATTTCACCCTTCTTTAGCAGAGAGATGGAGATATGGGAGAGGGATGATCCCTGTTTTTGTTTTCACCAAATAAAGTTTGGGTTGGGAGCAGAGAGATACCCTAAGAAAAATAAATTACTGGACTGGGAGGAAGAGTAGAACAAATCATTGTTTCTGTATTCTACACATAAGGTTGTGAGAATCGACAACCTGGTCACTGTGCCACTGAAAAAAAGCAGCTCCCATACATCTTTGGCATAAACATGCCAGTCACTTTAACTGCCTTCAAGGATGCTTTTCTTCAGTTCTGCAAGTAAAACACGTAAGTCTAGTGGATAAGAGATTCAGACGTCTGAGTTAAAGAGCATCCCATGGAAGTGCATCGTAGATTACCTTGACCACCAAATCAGAATCCATTCAAGTTGAACAAAAACAGTTTCCTTTCTGGTTTTGCCTTTGCATTGTGTGAAATGATCTTTTCAATGTAATTCAAATAAATGCTGCTTCTCCAGAACGTTCACACTACCAGGAAGGAGTAGTTGTGCTTTTTGAACCGAGTTAGGAATGTTAAGAGACACTATTATATTTTGAGGAAAAGCTGGAAAATTGAACCCAAGAGCAACAGCAGCGATAGCAATGAACCTCATATTTTTTAATGTATGATCCAATGAGCCAGGAGAATTTCTTTTGTTTTTTGCCTTTCTTGTGTGACTTTGGTCTCCCAAACCGATTGCTTTAAACATTTTACAGCCTGAAATGTTCTAAGTAGTTGTCTAGGTTAAAATAGTTCAGAAATTCAAATAGTGTTGGATATTTTAAACAGGGTATCAGTCTCCTTCAATATGTAGTTTACCAAGCTGCTGTGGATATACAGGCATCCAAATACTGGGCAGTTCTTTTTTTTTGAGGTTAGGACTAAGCAGCATTGTGAGCAATGATAAGAATACAAAAAGAATAATTCATATATCAGTTTCCCAAAGAATAATTCAGATACCAATTCCCCAAACAAATGTAATTAGTATGTGTCACAAACATACTAACAAAAGCAAGTAACAGAGTAGATAGCACCAAAGAAAATCTCTCATGCAGATATTTAAACTACTTTTTTTCCTGATTAAATATGACGCTAACTTCCACTTCATGAAGACTGAATCTTTTTTTAGAAAGTTCCAGAAACCTGGCTCTTATTTTTGAAGTGGACAGGTTTTGCTACTGCAAAGCACTGAACCCTTGTGAAGATTTGAAAATGGCATAGTAAAACACAGAGACAAAAGTTGAACTGTGTAAAAATGTATTACATTCTTTTATTTAAAAAACACTTTAACACCCATACTGAATTTAATGTATTGTTTTCCAACTAAACAGACCTCATTTAGAGAATTAAAGTAGACCAAAAACTTATCTCACTCATTAACTCAGCTGCTTTCAAATCTGCATTCAGAGCATGAGGGCATCACCTGTTTCTGCTTCAAGGCTGAACGTACAGGAAACGAAAGCCCTCAACACAGCTTGGTATCAGAAGATAGGAATCAGAGTAAATTGTGTAAATTATAACTAAATTGCAAAACATTTGGACAGAGCAGGCATGCTAGTGTAATCAGGAAAGCATCATATTTACTTTTTGATAATGCAGGTTGGAAGAGGGGTTGGGGGAGGGCAGCATCACAAATTGTTGAATATATTTTCTGAACTTGGCAACCTGAACTGGTTTTGTCACATACTTGCAGCTTAAAATGTATTTGGCTTTTACAACAGCCAAAATAAGTATCCTTTAATCACTTTCAACCTATGAACAGATGGGCACACAGTGCTTTTATAAGTGGAGCATACAAAATACTTCAATATCAGCCAAAACTAATTAGTAGCAATATCGGAACCAAACTCTAAAACTGATTTAGTGTTTAATAGATATTATTATATAAGTATTAGTATTTGAAAGGAAATTCCCTGTTCACATATTTGCCAAGCTCAGGGTCTAATGTTAGGACATGATTAACTTACTAGTTAACTTATTGTATCTTTTCTCACAAATAACTTTGCTTAATGATTTCTTCTCTCTCTGTAAATCATTTAATTTGATATCTTGATCATAAACTTATCAAACTTCAAATGAAAAATTCAACCACAAACATTAAACTTTGGTCTCTCAACTTTGTTATAGTGAGTTTAAAAGGAGGTGACATCAGGACAATTGTGTCCCTTTGGTGGTGGACACTAGTTTTATAACCGGTCTCTAATGACTCACCTTTGTTTTTTAACACAATAAAGATTTTTCTGAGTTTCATAGAGATTATTTATTGGTTAGGAATCCAAGCCAATCTAATTTTTACTGATTTCCTAATTCACCTAGCCACTAGGTATCTTGACATCTCTATACATTCCATCATCTCACCTACTGTTGCTTCTTGGACCATGTAGACATTGAATACTTGAGTAACAGAATCTATTGAATGAATATGCACAAAGCATTCTGACCATTGAGGACTGAATGTTGCCAGTGCCTCGATTTCTGTTGCTGTGATATTTTTGTTCTCTATATTTTATCACTCACAGGATTAGGAGCTTTGAGTTCTGAATTCATGGTCTTAGGAAGTCACCTGAGTTCTTTCAGTTACAGTTTCCTTATTTATAAAATCAGAATAATAATATTTATTCAACAAACCCTTTGGAATCAATGGTGAAATTCCAAGGTAAATGATTGATAAAAAGTTGCTACTATTTCCATTACTGTTATTAATGTTTGCAGGCTGCTCTTTTTCAGAAAGTCTCAATAAAATTAGAAAATGAGGAACAAATCATAATTTTCTTTATGTCTTAATATTTTGCTTATAATCTATGAGGAGTCATTAACTCAGAATGAATGAAAGCAAGTATTCATCAGGAGTTTCTTAAAAATAATTTGTCATACGATTTTGATCCATCCTTGATTAGAAACAGTGCATTAATACCTCCACAAATGCATTTTGAAATGTTTCTTTCTGCTGTTATTTATACATAAAAAATTTACAATCATGTAATGCATGCAATTTAATATACTTATTTTCTTACTATCAATGTTTGAAATCATAAGCATTTTCTCAACCCTACTTTCTCACTTTCATGACCCTGTAATTTATTTTTTGAATCTAATTTATTTACACATTTATTTCTTATTTTTTGTATCATAAATGAAACTATGGTGGATATCTTCATAAATGTGTCATTTTCTGTATCCATTTTCGTAATTCCCAGAAAGGAAATTACTAGGGCATATGTTCTTGATCCATACTGCCAAGTCACTTGGTCAAATAGATTATGAAGTCAGGAATGTTGGGAGCTCAACTTCAACAAAGCTGAAATTGGATAGTTTTATAGAATTTTCTCCCTAATTTTGAAAGTAAATGATAGTACCTTCTTGTTTCTATTTCAACTTAAAATTATTATTGAAACACTTTACTGTATATGTGTTTCTATTTTTGGCCAATTTTTATTTTAATTAATCACAATAAACTTTTAAAAAATATTACTAAACTTTAAGGTATGTGATTGTCACAAAACCACGTTTAGGAATTATTCCAAAATTAGGAAATATAGTGAAGACCAAACATGACATGTTGACTTTTTATGCATAAATGATGTTTTGAATAGGGATACAAGCTTTGAAATTCAGGAAAAGACAGTTTTACAACAAAAGATTTAGGTGGGTGCCTAGAAATGGAAAAAAAGATAAACAGTATATTTTGAAGGAAATGAATATAAATCTGAGATTACATGAAAGGAGCTAACCATTTTTTGTCTGCATATGACTCACGTGTTGTCTTAGGTGGACAAAAACTAAATGATTTGCTAAAGTTTGTATTTGAATCCAAGAAATCAAGAAATCAGTATCATGAGACAAAATCATTACTTGGATATGGGTTCAGTAGTAACTTAAAGGGTTTGAGATTCCAGTTACTTTGGAGATGAGTGTAAGACAGAATTCCCTGTGCTTGTTTATCACAAGGTAGGAGACACCCTTTCAACTGACTATGAGATATGAGGCGTGTCTGTATTCATGGCGAAGGAAGACAAGAGGTCAGTTTGCTTTCTGATCCTTCATTGTGATCAAGAATTACTTATATGACACAGTTTTGATTGAATATGTTCATTCATCCCCTTTTGATTTGATATTGGAATAGTTTTATCTTATTGGACTGGTTGCAATATCATAGGGAATGAAGTATGGGTTAAAACCTAGAAGTCATATTGTTTGATTAGCAAAGCTAGCATCACATGAAACTAAGGCAGGTATGACTGCTGTCCAGGTGAGTGATAAACCTCTCAGTGTTATATTCTTTTAAAATGATTTCATGAAACAGAGATCTTTATTGCCCATGTGAGGTCTTTTATGGAATTTAGGAATTAAGAATCACCCTATTGTCTCTTCCAGGTTGTTTTTGTATGTAGTGGTAAAAGTGTCCACTTTCTCTTTGTTTTTTTAAAGTTAACTTTTTAGTGGTACATATTTGTCATTAATGTTGATTACACTGACCACAGAGAATATGTACCTGTACAATATTCTGTGATTTCCAGGAAGTAAACATTCTACCTGGTATGCTGGCAACAATGTGTGCCTGTTTTCTAGATGCTTAGCAGACATCATTTTAACGTAAGTGAACCCATATTCCTTAATGGAGCCATCATACCTAGTTTAATGGCTTTGTGTAAACTACATGGAAAATGGATACAAGTAAATTTTTCAGTTATACTATGGTTGAAAAATGGATTGACTGCTATTAAAATTTTGTAAATAAAAACTGATACAGTAAAAGTAAAAGCATTATATGTTTAACTTTTTATAGATAAAACAAGTATGTTCTTAATTTCTATTGATTTATTTCTGATAATTTATTAGCTTATAATCTTTGTGAAAACTTTGATCAGTAATTTTTTTCCTTGCACATTGATAGTTTAGTTGCAGCCATTATTACATTTTAAAAGTTATATCATTTTAAAATCATTTTAGCTTGTACGAGTAACAGCAAATAAATTGAAACTCATGAATCGATTCAAAGAATGAAGTTTTGACATTTTTCTTAGAAAATATGAATAACTATTAAGTTTACTCAATACGAGGTAATTTTTATTCTGGGTCTGGGGTTAAGCAGACTATCCCATGAAATTAAGCAGACTGCTGCATGAACGCTTCTGGATGTAAACATCCTGAATCCTGCTCCAGTCTTTGTTCTAGTCTAGTGGGCTCGTGGTTGTGATATCCTTTCGGGTATAGGTTGTACCGAAAAGCCTTTCCACTATAAATTCTTAATAAAATGGTGCATTCTTTATGAAGCAGTTGTTCTTTTGATGTTTCTTTCATAAAACAAAATTTATGAACATGTAACAAACAACAGGATCTTGGGGCAAAGGGGAGGGAAAAGCAGTAACCATCTGTTGGTGATATGACTGTGCAATGCAATATGCATCTAGCAAGGACTCATGACATTAATAATGAGAAATTCAAGCCTCTTTTGAGGGTATAAATATTCATCCGATGAAAATTTGTCCATTGAATACCTTGAAGTAAGGAAATATTACTGACCCTAGGATCACTGACAAAACTCAGGATTTAAAAATTTTTAATCTTGTGAAGTGTTCTGCATGAGTACCATTACTTGGCAGAGATAATTTACCTCTGCAATAAAAATATTTTAAAAAACCAACTGGACAGCCATTGTATTAGTCTTTGAGTGAAAAATATAAATATGAATGTCAATTATCTATTGACACTATATCATCACAAAAGGTAGCTACTTAAAAAAAACTGGTTCATTACTTTTCATGAGATTATTGTGAAGGTCTGAGCCAATTCAGCTGGTATCATCTAGACTCAATTGAGAGGGTACAACTTGTCCTTTCTTTACCTTGTTTCTTTTTCTCTAAAGACTCCTTGGAGGGGTGGTTTGTTCTCATGCAGAAATAAAGTTCTGAGAGAATGGAACTGGAAGGCACATGTTCAGAACTGACAAGGTATCACTTCAGTTTGATTACCTAGGCCAAGGCAATTCTCAAGACCAACCAAGATTCATAGGGGCAGCCATTCTGGCTTGGATCTTAGGTGACCCCACATTGGGTTTATAGCCTGTAGCACTACTGGGAGTTGGTGGAACCTTTAGGAGGTGAGATACAGTGGACAGAACTGCTTGGAGGTTATGCCAGGAGAGGCATCTCTTGGAAAGAGCATTAGGACCGGCCCCTTCCTTCATTGATCAAGGAAAGAAAACATGACTGAAGTAACTGAGGCACTCAACGCAAGGTTCATTTGGGCACCCAGGGGCTGGTATGCATGTGAGACATAGCAAATATCTTCTGCAGAGAATGATCTGGAGCCACTTCCCAGTAAGGAAACAGGGCAAGGGAACTCTCATACGAAAAGGAAAGTATGAAGGGGACTTGTCTGCCTATGTAATCTCCATCAAGATGGGGGGGACTCGCTGCGTCTGAGGGCTGCAGAGGACATCAGCAGCCTGAGGTCTTTTGATGCCCTAAATTATTTGATTGATAACTAACATATAATGGGTGAAGTTTTATGCCATGTGCAAAGCAAGAAGCTGTAAAGGACTATGAGTACCCTTATTTGGAACATGTTTAAAACAAATGAGTGTGTAAGTATTTGGAGTTTGGAGCCTGCAGATTTTTAAACTGATAGTCGTAGCCAATGTGAAGAAGTAAGCAATAGTAGAGGTCAATATACAAGGGCCGCCTTTGGTTTACTATGTAACACGCGTAACAAGCCATGCCAAACTTGGTGTGTAATTTAGACATTGAAACTTTTTTTTTTTTAATTTTGGATTTGAATTTGGGAAAGGATGTCAAGAAAGATAAAAGAGTCATCATATATTATAGCTACCTTAAGAATAAAACAAAATATCACATGGTCACTAGTAATATTAGATGTTAGAAATATTGGTCACAAAAATGGGAAGAATGAATCACAAGCATTGCTAAGAGGAATGCTGTTTGTGATATAAAGAAGTTTATATTGCCTAGGCAAAATACGTTGAAGTCACTAAAATACTTTTTCCTTTGTTAGATGAAGTACAATGTGTACTCAAAATAACGGTTTTCCAGTGGTGGAAAAGAATTTCAGTTGTTCTTATAAAGCCACTAATGCCACAATGGTAGCCTCACCAGATGAGTATTCTAATTCTAATCACCTTCTAAAAACCCACCTCTAAATACCATCAACATGAATTATAAATTTCTAATGCATGAATTTCAGAGATTACTCCCAATTTTACTTTTACTTTTTCTGTGTAATATGTTACACAGTACACAAAAAGATATATTTTTCATCTATTAATTTATTGATATTTTCTCAAGACAGAATGAAAGAAAGAACCAGTCACTGAAACAAAAGAACTGCAGTTATAAAATCATTTACAAGAATAACTGTCTTCCCCTTGAGAGAAGGGAAAATTTTTGTTTTTCATAGAACTAGCAGCCTTAGTTATACATCTTTAGTTAAGGATCAAAAGTAAAGACAAGAGAACAAATTATCAGTGTCTCAATAAATCTCAGTAGTCAGTTGAAGTTACTTGGGATTAAGAAGATCATGGAAAGGCCCTTTAGGAATTATTTCTTGTGAAAAGGCTTTGATATGGGACTGATCTATATTCTTATTTCACTTCCTGCAAAACTATCTTAATGGTACTGATATTGGTGTTGAAGATTGATACTATACTGCTGTCCAAATGATAATTGCTGTAGGTCATAACAGAAGATATCATAAACTTTAAGATAAAGTACTAAGAAGATAAATGAAGTAAAGACAGAACTGAGATTCCATACTATGCACTGTCCAACAAAGACTTAATGGCTGGGTTAGTCAAAATATGACCCTCAGCATTTCAATGAGCCAGGGATGAAAAATAAAAACCATGTACAAAGCAAAACAAGATGCTCAAGAACCTGCTTGATGCAGAAATCAAAAAAAGACTGGGAGGGAAAAAAACAGAGAAAATTTCAACCAGAGGTTTACTCTGAGAATTGGGAAAATTTGACCTAGAATTTAGAGATTGATATGCATTACTACACTTTTGAACTACCACCCACCTCTAGGGGGTGAATTTACTTGGAACCTCAGTGGGACTCCAGCTTTGTTTGGGAGAGGTAGAAACAAAAACATTTGGATATGCTAAGAATTTGAAGATAATTAGACTTTGGACTTCAGAAGGCTTTGGAAAAAAACCTGGCCACTATATAAAGAAAGTAAATCAGACACACAAAGGGAGAACAGTAGATACAAAGTGACCAAGGTAGCTGTTAGAGTGGTGGTGTCTACAGTTTCCTCGCAGGTTATCTACACTCAAAGTACATCCATGGCAGTCTTGCAGGGCTGATTCTAGCGGCCTGCGTGATTCTTTTCTGTTGCTGATCCTATAGCCCATGACTCTAATGACCATACTGCACTTTTTTCTCAACTGAGAGATTTGGATCGTAACGTAATCATTGTAAGGTAGTTTTCAATTTAAAGCAGCTCCAGAGACAGGAAAATTCCTGGACTAATCTACCCCACAATATGAAGATATTCTCTTTTGAATAATTGTGAATAAATTCAGATAAATTCACTTTCTTTGCAACTTCCTTTTCTCAGAAAGTTAAATTTATACATGCTAATATATTGATTCTATATCATGCAACCTTCTTTGAGAACCTGGTCGACATGTCTAAGTAATATCATACATTGAATTCTATGTAAAAATTAAAATACATTCCCTATGTCAATATCGTTATCTTTGAAAGCATTTAAAACTGCAGAAGATTTTTTTTATCTTGTTACCTCTAAGAAGTTTTTATATTTTATTTTAGGAGGAAAGATATTCTAAATAAAACTGACAAATTGGAGAGTAAAGTTAAAAGAATTGGACCACACATAGAAATCTTCCAAGTGTTCAAAGGAAGAAAAAAAATCAAAATTACCAAAAATGTAGTTCAAATGATTACTAATCTACAAGCACATATCAGGGGGTGGCTTGAACGCAAAAGACTTCAAAGACTAATGACCAAGGTAAGGCAAGCATTATATATTATAATGTGTTTAAAATTTAATATATAGATTTAATTAACTAGAATTTTGAATAGTTGCTTGGTCAATATGCTCATAAGTTTTCTAAGTAGATTTCCATCTGTATATTTTTTATTAAGAACATTATGAATAATCTGCTCTAATGATAGAGATAGGTTGTGCCAGCTTGCGTGGTCTGAACCAAAGAACTGTCCTGCCCTTAACTCCATAGTCTGGAACCACCTGCCCTTAAACTAGGACAAACTTCCCTTGCTGCTACAGTCGTTTCTCTTTTGCTATTTATTCTCTGCTTAGAGCAACATATTTCCACTTCCCATACTACTGGATATTCTTGCAGAACATTTATGTCTCAATTAAAAGGAACTATCAACTCCCTCCCCACCATATCTACCTGAGCAACATTTATAAAGAACAATTCTGCCTTTCAAAACAAGTTAGAAAGACTTACGTTGGCTGGCCTAATGTGGAAGAACTTGACTGGACAGATCTTGTCAATCAGAGAGAATGTCCTCACCTTCAGGGCTAAGGCTGAGGAACCCAACTATAGTGAGAAAAAATAGAGCAGGTGAATTCTCTGTAATACATTGCTCTTGAGGGAGGAACCTGCTAGCGTGGGCTGGCAGGTAGGTGTCCTGACCACGTTTGCTTCAGAACATACTGACACTGGGGGTGCGGGGAGGGGGATCCATCTGCTTGTCTCTGGCTATGAATTTATGCACATATTAATATGTACACATTCCATTAATATGTAATATGTACACATGTGGTTCTGATGATTAAATATGCTAGTCCACATAAAACATTGGCAAAAGTAAACTCTACTTATTCTATTAGTAATTCTAGGAGGTTGCTACTATATCTGTTTTATAGGCGAAAAAATTGAAGCCTTGAGAAGTTAAACTATGTGGTCAAAATAGGTAGTTAATGGCAGTTATAATTCAGACTTTTGTTTTGTCAGATTTAAGGACTATGCCGGATTTAAGGGCTATGTCAGATTTAAGGACTCTGCATATCATATCACCAACATAAACTACTTTAGCAATGGCTAAAGTACTCTGATCTAAAACCCTATTTCAGATCTTGCTCCTTAGTTCCAGACTCAAGAATTAAATTGTGCCCTGAAACATTTTACATACCTTAAATGAACTTATTTTTCCCTAAAGCACTTGCTCTCCTGTACTACCTGTATTGTTGTATAGGAGTAACTATTTTGAAGCCATAAACCTGGAATTCTCTTTGACTTCTTTACTGCCATAACCACTGGTTACATTTCTTTCATTCTTCTTTTCTGTGCTTCTTACCAGAGTTTCCATTTATCTCTGCCTATATGGCCATGTGCAAATCTCTTTGTTTATTTTATGAAAAAAAAGGTCTTTTTACTCTGTTGGCGATTTCTTTTGATTTGTAAATGTGTTTTAATGAGATGAGGTTCCACTTTTTGATTCTGTGAAGCATTTCCCAGACAGTTTGGGTTTTGTTCATGGACTTTGTGCCTATACCTATGTCTTCAAGATTTCTACTTACTTTCTCTTTCATTGTAATTAATGTTTGTGTTTTAATATTCAGATTTGATCTATTTTGACTTTACTTTAGTGTATGGTGATAGACATGAGCCTAGTTTCACTCTTTGGCATGTAAAGAGCCACTTTTTCCAGCACCATTTATTAAAGAGACCGTGTTTGTTCCAGTGATCATGTTTGGTCCCTTTGTCAAAAATAAAGTGGTTCAGTGATTTGGAGTTATGTCTGAATCTTCTAATCTGTTCCATTGATTCTTAGGACTGCTTTTTTTTTTTTTTTAATTTCAAGATAGGTATTGTAATGCCCACTGCCTTGCCCAGGATTGCTTTTGCTATTCTAGGTCTCTTTTGATTACAAATGAATTTTAGGAATGTTTTCTCTAGTTCTGTGAGGTATATTAATGATACTTTGATCAGGATTGCATTAAATTTGTGTAACAACTTTGGGAATATGACCATTTTTACTATGTTGATTCTTCCTATCTATGAGCAAGGAATATCTTTCATTTTCTGACATCCTCTTCAATCTCTTTTTTCAGAGTAGTGTAATTTTCAGTGTATAGATCTTTTAATTCCTTTGTTAGATTGATTCCTAAGTATTTCATTCTTTTGGGTCCTCTTGTTAAGGGTGTGGTATCCCAAATTTCTCTCTCAGTAACTTTGTGGTTTGTTCATAGGAATGCTACTGAGTCTTGAGTATTGAGTTTGTATCCAGATACACTACTTGAATTTGGTTATTTAATCTAGAAGTCTTTTGGTGGAGTTTTTGAGGTTTTCTATGTAGAATATTGTGACATCTGTGAATAATGATGATTTAATTTCTTCCTTTCCTATCTTTATTCCTTCTATTTCTCTCTCTTGCTTAATTGCTCCAGCTAATACTTCCAGAACTATATTGAATAGGAGTGGTGACAATGGGAATCTTTGTTTTGTACCTGATTTTAGAGTGAAAGCTTTCAGTTTTTGTCCATTTAGAATAATGTCAGTTGATGTTATAGGTGGTTTTTATAAGATTGAGGTAAAGATTAGCTATTCTGAATATCTGTAGGTTTTTTTTTTATTGTCATGAATTAGCGTTGGACAAGAGTCTCTTAATTGGCCTCTTTTCTTGTGAACCTATTTTCATTGAATCTTCTGATACACTGAAAATATTTCACACTGGTTACCTTATCCCACCTTATAATCTTTGATAGCCCTTTATTTCCTTAAAATTCTGTTTTCACCTTTGAGATATGCCATGCAATCTCATTATAGCATATCCTATTATCAGAGAAGACTGTAGGCATCCATAACTTCTGGCACAAAAATGGGTCGTGAAAACGGAGAGAGTAAGAATAGGGCCAAGATGAGGTTGAAGATGAGAGACTGGTAAGGAAAATGTTAAATTCTTAAGGGAAGACACAATTTGAATGGAATTGTGGGAAACTAACTTTAGCTGATCAGAGCCAATGTAAACTAAATTGTTGATTTGTACTGATTATTAAAATATTATGATTGCTGATTTTTTTTAACAATTTCATGATTGGTTGACGTTTTTTGTGTTGGATGACTGCTTTGTTGATACAGTTAGTTTTTTGCCTACTGTCAAAACGCTAGCAATACAGGTCTGTAATGTGATAAATAATACTTCTAGGATTGTGCCTACATGAAGGGTTGCCACTCTGGGGATTTTGATAAACTTCCTGCTCTGGAGGCTGCATGGCAAATCATGGGATAATTGTCAGCACTGTGACAGCCTCTCCACTGGGAAAGTTTCAAAGTTGTATTGGATTCACTTTAGAGCTTTTACTGTGGACAGTGTCTTCTACAGTATCACTTAAAGGTCACTCAAGGGAGTGTGCATTTCCCACTATTTCATGTTCATGTGCAGGTCTCTCAAGTCTAGATTTGTTTGGAAATAATGAAGTTGTATCTAATTATCTTACAGGAGGCTAGGAAGATTGCTATACTTAACTACTAGCAAAATTCCACCATTTATAATGCCTTTTTCTTTTAAAAATATATGCTGTTTGTTAGCATATTTTGGTGTAAGTAATAAGAACCTAAATATCCTAAATATACAGGAATAAAGTAATATCCTCAGTGTAAGTCTTTAAGATTTTGTTTAGTTTCAATATTGTCCTTTGAATATTTATAATAAAAGTTTTTAAATTTTGACCTGAAGATGATGCATTCAGTTACTTTTGCCAAATACAGCTATAACTCCAGGAAATTTGAATGGCTGAGAGTTCATTAAGAAAAAAATATTTGAAATTCAGTTTGAGTAATATTTGCTAAATAGATAAAATTGGAACAATCTCAGAAAATTTGAGTTTTAAATTTACTGTAGGAACATCTTGAGCATACTTCAACAATCTTCATATTTTGGGGAGTTTAAAGTCCTCTGAAAATTTGATAAAGTAGTAATTGCTTCTCATCAACTCACACATAGAAAAATAAATAACAATCCAGCAAAAATTGTAAAAAAAATTCTGTAGCCTCTTCAGGGAACCCCATGATATAGATAAACTTGAACACAACACTTTTATTAAATAAATGTGTTGATTCATGAAGAATTTTGTTCATTTATTCAGTAATATACCGTTAAATATTTCATAATAGCTAATGTACATTGGGTTCAGTTTCTTTCCTGATATCTGACCTCATGGAGCACAGAGTCCATTGAGTGATAGAGGTAACTAGAGGAGACCCTGGATGTTTGTACATGCAGCAGTGCCATTTAACTTGAAGGCTGTGTCTGCTGTGGAGGCTGGTTGTTCTGAGAACTGGATGGTGAAACGTTGTTGTATCTTGTCAGACTGGGACGCTGGGAGGCACAGGGACAGACAGTATCAAAGATATTAGATGAGATAGATTATTCAGCATCCTGGAGGATAGTTGAGAATGCAATAGCAGTAGAAGAAACTGAAGACAGCAGTCAACTTACAAATATTTGAAAACATGTTAAGTGGTTTATACTTTGTATTTTGTAAGAAGTACACTTTGTACTTCATTTATTGGAATAGGTGACAATAAAGGAGATCAATAACATGATTTTTATATCAGAAAAATTATTAACTGTGAATCAGGTGTTGTGGAAAAGACAGGGACAATATGGAGAGAGAACGTCTCATAGGCTTTTTCACTAATCCAGTGCATGGTGGTAATGGCTTGAGGTTAAATGGAGATAAATGAAGATTAGGTGACTCTGAGTTTGATTGCATGTAGAGATACTGAGGGAGAAGTCAAGATTGACTCTCGGGTTTTTGTCTTAGGCATCCTGGTAGATGTTTTAAGTGTAAGAGGAGAGAGGGAAGGAATGAGGCAGAATCCGGTTTAGAACAATGAATTTCAAGTGTTTGTGAGTCATATTTGAGCTGTCTTAGAGGCAGTTTGGTATATTGGTCTAGAATTCACAAGGAAGATTGGGTGAAAGAAGAAGATTTGGGATTCATCAGTGATTCTTAAATTCTTTTTAACTGAA